AGAGAAAAAAAGGAAAATATTTTTTTTTTTAAATCATACCGCCAGGGAGGTTAAAAAACGAGCGTTGAACGCGCGTTTCAGTGAACAAAAAAACGTGCTTAAAAACGAGCATAAAACGTGTCTATTTGGAACGCCCAGGTGTAAACTCAACCTTAGAGACTGATCCTGGCAGCATGTCAGAATCAGATCTCACTAAAGGTGCCCATACACTGCACGATTCGCTTACGAGAAAATCCATCGATCGTACGAGAATCGTACAGTGTATGGAAGGCGTGCGACTGTTTCTACTGTACGGTCGCACGTCTTCCGTCAAACAAGCAGGCTGGAAAACCCGCCGGGAATCGTATGATTCCCAGCGAGTTAGTGGCCTGCTTGTTCGACAACTGCCGAACGGGCCGGTGTGCGGACACATCACGAGACCTCATACAAGCGATCCGCCGGCTGTATATTAACAGGCATCGCTGCCTGTTTTCAAATAACGGGCATTGCCCGCTCGCGCCCAGTGGCACGGCTGAGCGGACGTCTAAAGACGCCCGCTCAGATCTAGAGAGCTCCTGGCCGGCCATTTTTTTACAACGGCCGGCCGGGAAGTGGTTAATATATGCCTCGATACAGAGGCATTCATTAATGACTGGTAACCGCTGAGAATCAGCGGTTGTCGGCATTACAGAGTCTTAAATAACTCGTCACGTACATTGTACGTGTCCAGTCATATAGGCACTTTGTGGCGGGACGTACAGTGTACGTCTCCTGTCACAAAGGGGTTAAAGAACCACTTCAATGAGTCAAAATAATGCACAGCAAAGGTTTGTGTCACCTCACACATATCGAGCACCAGTAATAACAGTGCCAGAAAACAGAAATGGGTTTTGGAAGTGTTTATATTGAACAGTGGATTATCTGAAATATTTTATTATTATTATTATTATAGCGCCAACAATTTGTGCAGCACTTTACAATTTAAGGAAGACATTACAATAACAACACAAATCAAGACAAGATGGTAAGGAGGGCCCTGCCCATGAGGACTTACAATCTAAAAGGGAGGGGGAAGTGATACATGAGGAGGGAGCTGTGTGGGGATGAATTGTTTGAGAACGTGATGGTTGACCTGTTCGGTTGAGGCGGGATAGGCTTCACTGAAGAGATGAGTTTTTAGGGAATGCCTAAAGGCAGTCAAGGTGGACGACAGATGGACAGGTTGGGGTAAAGAGTTCCAGAGGATGGGAGAGACTCTAGAGAAGTCCTGGAGGCGAGTATTTTTTCTTGTACTGTGTTTCCCCAAAAATAAGACACTGCCTTATATTTTTTTTTGCCCCCAAAAAACACACCAGGTCTTATTTTCAGGGGATGTCTTATTTTTATTTTTTTATGTGCAATAAAATGTACAACAATCTAAAGTTATCTGGTATCGCTCCGCCTGTCACAGTAACCGGTGTTATAGAGGAAGTATCGGCTAATGTGGCTCTACCTCTGCCGCCGCAGCATTGCTTTCTACAGCGCCGGCTTCCTTTGCCATCAGGGACAGAGATGCCAGAGGTGCAGCAGTGGGGACATCAGACAGTGGACAGCGCGGTAAAGTATGGTACCATTTACCGGTACACATTACAGTGCAGTACCATTACATTAAGCAGTGCCTTCAGGGGGACAGCAGTTGGTGAAGTATGGTACTGGAGTGCTCCCTGTCACTGCGCTGGCCGGAGGGAGTCCACTGTCATCCCCTTAATACAGTATGTCCCTGCAGGCCGATACCATCTCTCCTGCTCTTCAAGTTCCCCATCACATGCTACCACCAAACTAGGTCTTATTTTCAGGGTAGGTTTTATATTACAGGAATCTTGAAAAATAGTGCTATGTCTTACTTTTGGTATAGGTCTTATTTTCGGGGAAACACGGTACCTCCCCTCCCACTTGTTATTTTTACCTGTGCATTGATGGTTAAATACACCTACAGGTGGCCATATACTTTACAACCCCTGCAAGACTTTTGTCTTGCGAGGGTTGTAAAGTAATTTAAAAAATGTACGATCTGCCCATCTTGGACAGGCAGATCGTACTTGCAGGGCGGGCTTCCGATGACCACAATGCTGAACGAGCAGTGTGCGCTTGCGCACACCGGCCCGTGCGGCAGTTATCTCACGACCATAATTCAAACCAGCGGAAAATCGTACGATTTTCGGCTGGTTTTCCAAAATGCTCGAAATACAAAAGTCGTGCGACCGTACAGTAGAAACAGTCGCACGCCTTCCATACACTGCACGATTATAGTACGATCAAGGGATTTTCCGCGATTATCGTACGATAATCGTGCAGTGTATAGGCACCTTAAGGGTCTATTTATAAGTGTTTTCACACACATTTAAACATGATTTGCACATTCTACAACTGAATCCAATTAGAAAAATGTGTCAATCTTGTTTGAAAACGTTTTAAATAGACCCCTTATTGTATATTTAACAGTAAAATAACTTTTGTGTACCTTTTATGACAGCAGAGGCACCACCTAGTCTAATAACGCAGCCTGGTCCTAAAGCTATACTCCAGACTAAATGTAAGATTTGAAATGCTTGCAGGAACACAGCTACATCCAGGTGCTCCAAGCCATGTCTCTTTATAAATACCAGTTACCAATACCTACGAATTTTCAAAAGTATTTTTAAAGTGGACCTATCACTCAGTTTACAAGTCTGCATGAATACATTCTGTGGTAGTGCATGGCAATGCCACGGTGTAGTATGGCAACTTTGGCGCCCAGGACTCTCAGCCAGAGGGGCTGAGAGGTTCCACAATGTGAATACCTTTGGAGAGGAGGAACTGGCTGTTCAATTCCTTCCAGGTTTTCCAGACTATATTGGGATGGGATCTCCAGTCCTGGGGCCAGGTGTTGCCAGGGGCCAGGTTGAGCTGATCAGATGGCTGAGAGCAGCCTTATTAGGAAGCCAGCCCAGTGCTTTAGAGGAGAGTTGTGGGTGTGCTGTAGGCACACGGCTACAGGCAGACGCTGCTTCGTGCGTGAGTACAGGTGACACAGCCAGGAAGGCTGGAGAGGTCCAGAGGGTCTTTGACCCTGAGATACCTGCCGGGGAGACAGAGAGAGACAGTGACCCACGAGGGTGAATACCAAAAGTCTTGGAGCTGAGGAAAGCTGCTGAGGACGGTATATCCAGGGAAAGTCCTGGGACTATAACACTGGGAGTGTATGGGACAGCCAGATGTCGGTGAGACCAAAACATGATGTGTTAATGAGAGTCCAATGAACTGTTATGCTTCGTTTATGCTGAGGAAAAGCAAGTTGTTTTTGTGAAGTTCATGGACTATTCACCTTTTGAATGAATAAAGACTGTCCTTTTATGTTAAAGTCGGCTTCAGGAGTGGTCACTTAGTGCTCACCATTGTGCTATATTCCCCAAACTATCACAATTCCTAATGTAATCCTAATACATTCCTGAATAATTGTCACAATATACAGCAACAGTATAATAAAAATAAAAATAAAAAGCAGTCCTGTAACTCCTGGAGGCTGACCTAGGATAAGAAGTGCATTCTTAAAGAATTATGTTCTCAATCAGCTGCAGGTAAAGAGTACCATTTTTTCTGTCTCTTCTCTCCCAGTTATCTGCTACAACTTCATCTCTTGTATATCCCTTTGCAATTTTTACATTTCAGTTATGGGTCTATTGATTGAGATTTCTTATTAGATCCTTAAAGTGTCATTAAACCCCAAATGTTTCTTTGTGTATATTTCTTTAAACTGATATCTACCTAATATGAATGTATTAGTTTTTTGTATATACGTTGTTGATCCTGCCATTTCCATGTACTTCCCTGTTGATAGTGGCAATGCCATTACAGCTGAGCCTCTGGCTGCTGCATTGCTATTCTTTGTGTGCATGCTCTGCATGCTGCCTATTTGGAAGCAGCTGACTTTCTCATTTCTCCTGCCGAAGTAACTTTTTCCATCACTTGCGAGGCGGCTCCAACTGTTTGAATGATAGCAGCTCCCTCTCCTATTCACTTGTCATCTGCAGTCATTGCTGGGTGCATCCAGCAGGGATGATTAATGGAGATGTCCTCTTCCTTGCTAGCCGTACCATGTACCTCACATTCTGTAGCCTTGGGAGGTGGCTCCCAGCTTGTGACTGGCAGCAGCTCCTACAGGAAGCCACGCTGATTGATTATTGTGCCAATACAGCAGCAGCATACTCCTTTTAGGATTTGCAGGTTTTTTCCCCAAAATTATTCCATCATAGTTGTTATTGTTTTAGATAATTAAATTAAAAAGGCAATCAATAGTGTTCATTGTTGTTTTTATTTATTTTGCAATGCTGTTTGGTTTAAACACATGACCTCTATGGAACAAATAGATCAAGTCACATGACTAAGGTATTGTATATGTCCCGGGGTCACCTGCCACCCAAATCCATCCTCCACAACTCCCACTTAATTAAGTGACACCAAACCAGGGCTGGATTTTTGTGGCCACAGCAGACAGTTTATTAATACAACGCCAAACAATGTTCTTAACAACATAACCATTAACTGGGTTTTAAAGGTTCTTAAAGGTCATCTTACCATAAATGAACCAGTACCTGCCTACTAGGCCCCCAGCCGCACCACACCGCCTCGGGGACATAACATCACAACTGCAGATACCCTGAATCTTCGACTGACCAGTTACCCTGGGGATGCCATACCTGAGACAGCTCCCCAATCTCAATAACATTAACTGCAGATCCTGTCCTTCAAAGACCCTCAGACTCTGTCAAAGCACCCAAGACGTGACCCCTTGTGTCATGGGTGCTCCTCCAAAAACTAAGGGCTCGCATTATGCCATCTTGAATGCCTAAGGTTCATATGTCGATCCCAACAGCATTCAAATGCACTCCATCCTCTCTCAAATACATCCCGGGGTTGTCCTCTAAATGGAGAACCAGCCACATAGGAATTACCCAGAATCCACACCAGGCATTTTGGAAATTCTGTAACAAATTGTCACGTACCTTTTGAGGAATATGAGGTGACAAGGGCGGCCTCTTTCACAACTCTGGTCCCGGAGCACCTGGATTGGGTACAGGGGCACAGAGGGGCAAGGATGCCAATGGATAATGTGTCCGCTGGATTTGTGGAACGTGGTGATGTGCGTAGATCCAGGCAGGAAGCAGGCACTTGAGAACACACAGTAGAGTTGATCTGGAATGATTCCCGATCAGATGAGCTGAGGAAACAATAAGCAGTCCACAACGCAACAGGACACAAGGCAGAAGAATCGTCTAGGACAGGCCGAAGTCATCAATGGGCAGGCAACGCAGTACAAGGGAATGAGGCAGGATCGAAGTCCAGAACAAGCCGGGGGTTTCAGGAAACAGGAATAAGCAGGTCAAGCCAAGCCGGGTCAGTAACGGGTGATCAGGATACAAGGAACACAGGAGAGCTGACAAATCTGACAGCATAGGACGATGGTTGATCACAGCATTTATAGCCCAGAGGGCGCCAAACATTCAAATGACGTTTGTGCGCACATGCTCTATGGGCTACAACAGGCGCATGCGCAGACGGCAGAACTCGTAGTCTGACTCTGGCTTTCTGACACAAATAAAATAAAAAAATAGAACCCCCCACCATTACACTAAAAGAAAAAGGCAAGAAAGACAACAACCGAGAACAATGAGCAAAGCACATACCAACTCATAATAGATGAGGACAAGCGTACAATTTATACCTACAGGATTCCCACCTGCCAATGCATTTTACAACATTCTCGCCCAAACCCCAACAAGCAGCCTCAGTCTCTGCCCCAAATCGAAAAGAATGAGACAAATATCCACCTGCTGCTAGGCCAGCAGCAACAAGGCATTTGTGAAAAACGCAGTTAAACTGGAACCGAGACAAAGCAGAACCATCCATGTGCAAGAAGAAGGAGCACCCATCCAAGGGACGTAATGCCAAGAAGTCACGAAGCGCCTGCAGTGGGCATGCCGGAGACCAAGCCAGAGGAAAAAGAACAATCAACAAACCTTTCCCAAACTGATCGGTCTTCGAACGACGTAGTAAAATTCGAAGGGAATCCGACCAACACAAACGTCACCAAAAAGCAAACAAAAAAAAAACTACTGCCCATACCACCAAAAAAGGCGAACGTAAAGGCCGCTCGACACAGAATCCGCTCATAAGGAGAGCCGCACACATCACCAAGCTTGTCAAGGATGAGCAGCATCAAGGATGAGCAACATCGAAAAAAACTGGCTTACGCTGATCGGGGGTCAAGCTCCCCTTCTGAAAACCTCTCATCGCCCGCCGGACTGCGAACGGTTTTCGTAGAGGCAGGAAAGCCCGACAGTTTGAAAAGGAAGAAGTACAGCCCCGACAATTTACGGTTCATCACTGAAACAGACAACTTGTGTTCAAAAATTCAGCCTTATAAAGAAAAGTAGAAGAGTCAAGGTATCCACATCGGAGAAACAACCGCCAACTGCACTTACTAACTCATGCCATTTCTGCCAAACTGCAGCATAAGCCGACCAAGTAGACTGTGCAACCGACCTCTGAATGAGAACCAACGCTATCCCAAGAAAATACTCCAGAGATGACCTGGACAAGAAACCCCGTGCTGCTCCGCATCCAGTGCCAACAAACGAAACTTGTCCCACTGGAAAGAGAATCAGTAATAGAATTAATTGAACCAGGCAACTGAACCGCATATGCAAAAGCATTTCACTTAAGACAAGACTAAGTGGCGTGAAAGACGAATTACTGGAGGTGACGCAGCCGTCACTCTGTTGATACACATAACAACCCCCAAATTGCAGCAATAAAAACAAACTATTTTATTCCTGAATGAGTCACCCCACAATGCGATTGACAAAGCTATGGGAAACAACTCCAGAAGAACAAGATTCTTAGTCAAACCGGCCTCCCACCATAACAGCTGCCAGGGGCCAGCACACCATTTGCCCTAAAAATAAGCCCAAAAACCACAAGATCCAGAGGCGTCAGTAAACAGGGCCAACTCAGCATTGGTGACAACATCGTCTATCCAGAACAAATGACCATTGTAGGTGTCCAAGAATTCCTCCCACACACATAAGTCATCCCTCAGATGTTTGGACAGCCGAATGTAATGAGTCAGGGCCGTCACCCCAGACGTTGCCGCAGCCAAGTGATGGCAGAAAACTCGCCCCATTAGATGCAGGACTCTGGACTATTTAACTATTAAATTAATTATTTAATATTATATAAATTATTATTTAATACATATTATTAGTTATTTAATGATTATTGATTATTTCATTATTAAATATTTAATTATTTATTAATTATTAAGCATTATTATTTCATTAAATGTTTAATTTTCTGCTGTCCTAATCCAGACATCTTCACGCATACAGTTAGGGAGCTGGCATGGTTTGTTTTTCGAGTACACATTTCTAGAGGCATCCACTTTATTAGCAAAAACACTAATTTTGTCCGTATGCAGAGCAGCCCTCAGGGAGTGGAAGCATGTTATCTCCTACATTTTCAGCATGAAGATCTCTGGACTGGTGGGCTAGGTCAGTGTAATATATGTAAATATACTCGCCTCCCTGAACCTGGAATTCCTCTTTAAGCCTTTCAGTCTTTGGAATGCAAGCACAGGCACGCTTCTCATATCCCAAACAATGTAGAGGTGAGCAGTGCAAGGCTCCTCTCTGATGGAGCTCTGAGCATAGGGAAAAGTTCCGTCGTCACTTCCCTTCCCCTGCGCACCACTGTGTGACACAGACTTCACTCAGTTGAACTGTGTTTGCAAATAACTCATGTCTAGAAATAAATGAGTGAGAAAAAGAGCCTGACAGAAATGTCATCTCTTCCCTACTCTATCCACAACTAAAAAATAAAAATAGGCTGAAGTTAGGCTTTAAATATACTTGGTAATGCAGGAAAATCTTCAAGCACTGCTAAATGAAGGCTGCTGTCCCGTTAACAGTACCGCACATGCAGCTGCACACATAGCTCCACACAGATCTAGAAGCAAACCGTCTGATACTGATATCGATGAGCGTTGAAGGATGTCTAATTTCATTCTTGGCTACAATATTTGATTTCAATCTTGGTCTGGACGTTTGTAGAGAGCAGCAGATAAGATCCTGGCTCTGTTACTTGGGTATCTGCACATTAATGTTAATGGGCGCTTTGCAGATGACAATTTGTAGCTCTGGCGGCTAGATCTAGTTCACTCTAAGTAGCTGTGATGAGAGCTAGGATGATCTTGATAAGGATTCTCCTCCTCACAGACAGTAATACAGAGAAGGACAAGAATGAAAGGGGAGAGATGAATGAGGCTGAAAGGGCAGCTCTTTACACTGAAAAGGCCATACAAAGGATTTATCGGAGCCTGCCTGTGAAAATCTGGGCCATGAATTGTCATGAAATGTAGAGCAAATTAGGTCAGGACATTTTAACCTCCTTCTAGTTTTGCTTTTTCATCTACTTTGCCATTTGGCATTTCTTCTTTCTTTTTCTTCTTTCACATTTTAGTGCATGCTTAGAGGGGAGGATTGCAAATTAAACCACTCATCTTCATGGCTCTTCATGCTCTGCCAGCTTAAAGGATACGTGCAGTTTTGTAAGCTGTACAAGCTTTATTTAGTTAAAACCCGCATGGCCATGTGGAAGCGGAGGCTGGCATAGTGTTTACATTGACTGCAGTAGTGCCTGCCTCTCTGACTCTTCCTACACCTGCTGCAATAGCTTGTGTGGTGCCTGCTGGGAGAGACAGGTGAGTGTCAGAGTGGCAGGCCTTCAGCATCATACCAGCCTTCTGTATATGTGTCTGATTTAAAGGTAAACTCCACTCTCTTAAAAAAAAATTGTGTGCACAAGTTGCATCGCTAATTGGGATTTGCTTGAATTATGCCTCAGACCTATTTGAGTGTTTACACAGTTCCTGGAGGAGCTGGGCAGCTGGTGCACTAAGGCCTGGTTCACACCTAGGCATTTTTGAGCAGTTGGAAAAACGCTTTTAAATGCCCAACACAAGAAATCCCATGATTTTCAATGGCCCCTGTTCACACCTAAGCAGAGAAACGCCAGCAGGAAGATGCCTGAAAAGATACATGAGCTTCTTTGGGCAGTTAAAAGCGCGTTTTTGCCCCATAGACTTCAATGAAAATGCCAGAAAATGCGCGGCAGAAGCATGTTGCACGTCTTTCCGCGTTTAAATGCGCATTCGTCCATTGCCCACAATGTTTTTTAGAAGCTGTCAGTCAAAACACACGTCTTCAAGCACGCACGTACAAATGCACATCAAACTGTGCACAACCAGCATAAACACACAAATATCCCCACGCTGAACAGGCGAGTAAAAACGCACAGAAACAGTGACGCCTGGGTGTGAACCCCGCCTAAGTAGACTCTGTCACCCGACTAGCGGTCTTTCATGAAGAATTGCTACAAATATAGGAGCCTAACCATGAGTGTGTTGCATCTGAAACCCTTTGGATACAAATATATCATCTGCAATACATGCACAAGACATTGAGCATCAGTTCTCTAATGTATATTGAAAGGAAATGTGTACAATGTATCAGGCGTGAGCACTAGTATGTTATAAATAATAAAGAAAATATCCATATGCAAGTCATTCGGATATGACGCATTAAAAAACTAATTTGCTTCTAATACTAACAAGGCAGATTAGTCCATTTAATTAGAAGTATTGTTTTAGATGTTTTAAAATTACAATATGTTTCAGCAGGGGCGTAACTAGAAATCACAGGGCCCCATAGCAAAATTTTGTATGGGGCCCTGTGATTGCTAGTTATGGCACTTGCAGAGTCCACCTGAGAGTGACCCTGCAGAGCCCACCATAAACTCTCTATAGACTCTCAGGGTCGCAGATGGGCTGCACACCTCTCATCTGTTAGCGCTGTCCGCCTCCGTGGTCGACGTCCTCTTCCGTCCCCGGGCCCCGCCTCTTACATCACTGGCCAGCGACCTAAGAGCAGGTGGGGCCAGTGATGTAAGAGGCGGGCCCCGCCTCCTCCTTTACTGCGATGCTGGCCTCTTCTGCCGTAGCTGCTGGCTGTCACTGACACAGCTCCGCAGCGGCTGTGAGGGGAAACGCCGCTGCTGAGCCATGTCAGTGACAGCCAGCACCCTTACATGCCATAGCGACTCAGGCGGCCCACACGGCATCAGAGGGATGGCCGGGCCCCCCTGTGTGGGTCGCTATGGCGATTGTTACGCCACTGTGTTTCAGTAAATGTTAATCTGTTATAATGCTGATATTTTAGCTTAACTGAATATGTAATTTTTGATGTTACAAAAACGTATTTTGCAACATGGTGGATGGTTTGAAAAATGTACCTATCTAAAGTAGTTATTTCTGAGTTTGTCCTATTGTTTACAGTATTGCAAAAGCATCCCTTGATGCAGAATAAAATTGTGATATCTGATATTTTACAATATGTGGAATCCGACATTTAACACTATCTCATGGGGTAGGAAGAGAGAGTCCCTGTGAAAGCTCCAATCATGGTTTTGAACTTATATAAGGCTTTTTTTCCTCACATACATTGGTGAACGGAGGGGCAGGGCAGCAAAGGAAAGGTGAGCATAGGTAGTTACGAGTGCCAACATTAATGTTAGCTTTCAGTCTGGTTCCATTGCCTGTCTGCTTAGGTTGGGCAGATCTGGACTCACTCTCCCTACCTGTCTCCACTCATGCTTGGCAGAACACAGAAGCCCTGACTGATCGGAAACTCTCCCATTTGTGGGTAAGACTCACCTGTCTCAGCCTAATCCAAAATTGATGCAAATAAAAAAAAATACATTTTGTGTTGGCAGCCCTGGCAATGATATTAAAATAATTTAGAGAGATATTGGTAAGAGATTGGTTTAAGAATACAGACAAAAAATAATTAACATTATTACAGGGTCTGTGAAAGAATGGGATCAGTTCTCTGTTGTTTCTGAAGAAAAGGCAGAAGGGGAAATCTATCTTCAATTACACTACACTAGCCCTTTAGACATAGCAATGCTAGGCTTGAGGGCAGGGTGATTACTGGATTTTAGAACAAAGGTTCAACTATTTTATTTTTATTTTTAAAGCCCATGTCCAATTAAAAATATTTTTATTTATAAAAACACCCCCCTTTCTGTATAGAAAATAAAGGTGCCAAGAACTACTGACCCTCTTTACACTTCAGTGCTGCACCCGTATTCTGCATTGCTATATAATTTAACAGTTTCATGTTTTTTTTAATGTTTGTTTTGGAGGGGGGGGGGGGGGGGG